AATTAAAAAGTTATATTGTATTCGTTTGCACAGATCGAGTAGTTCTGTGCGACTGCAAGAGAAATTTTTATCTCTAACGATTATTTTTTATTATTAAAGATTTAACCGGAATGCAGGGAAATCGCTAGCGCGTCGAGGATCCGACCGCGCCCACCATTAAAATGCAAATACAAAAATTAAATGTCGCTTCTAATCCTACGTATTAAAGGTTGAATTTAATCCCTAGACAGGTATCTCTTGAAATGGAATAGCGAAGAGGGCGCAAACTTCGTTTTTTTTTCTTTCTCTCTCTTCATGGTCGGCTAGTGATCGACGCGTTTCGTTAAATTAATTGAAACCGTCTCGCGCTTCGCGAAACTGACTAATGACGAAACGCAAACTGATGCGTTCTCGTCGTGCGTGTTCATTAGCCGTGATGAAAGTTCCAACGAAGACGTTAAAACGTGAGCTACACGATTGCTCGACAATTTCTCCTGGAACATTCCTCCGCCGAATAATTAAATGCCAAGCAAAAGTGGTTCCCAGGTTGCTGGCCATTACCGGCTCGAGGACAAGCAGGATGAAACTCTCGTCCGTCGTTGTCGTTACGGAAATTTATGTAACTTTCGTACTGTGACTAATGAGATAAAGAGGTTCCAGCCAGTTCGCTTAACACCTTTGTCGGTTATCTCGTAACCATAACTTCTACTAATTAAAGTTTGATTAAGAGGAATAAACTTCGGTACGGTGACTGTTGTTGCCCGGTCTTTCGACAATTGGTGTCATGAATTTCATTTAATTTAGTCATTCAGACTAAGGGAAACAAGGAATTCAAGTTTTCCAAGTTCGAAATTTTCTAATTTCTAGGTTTTCAAGCTTATTAATTTCTAAGCTTTCTAAGTTCAAGGCTTTCAAACTTCCAAATATTTTAAATTCTAAGTTTGCTTATTTTTAAGTTTTCTAACTTCTAAGCATGCTAATTTCTAAGTTTTCTAAATTCTAAGTTTCCTGATTTCTATGTTTTCTAAGTTCTAAATTTTCTAAATTCTAAGTTTTCTGAATTCTACATTTCCTGATTTCTAAGTTTTCTAACTTCTAAGCATGCTAATTTCTAAGTTTTCTAAGGTCTAAATTTTCTAAATTCTAAGTTTTCTAAGTTGTAAGCATAATAATTTCCAAGTTTTCTAAATTCTAAACATGATAATTTCTAAGATTTCTAATTTTCAAGCTTCCTAATTCGATCGTGAAATAACTGGATGAATTTCACGGTAAATCCCGAAATTTCGTGGACATTCAAAAGGACATCCTTCAGGAACGAATCACGCAATACGTTGCGTTTAAATGAATTGTATTCGCGACGCAGCTAACGGTGCATAGTTGGCCTGCCAAGTAGCAATCGAAATTATTCTGCATTGTTGCGTTAGGAATCCGAAATACGTGTCCCAAGCTCTTCTCGTAGGGCTATTATGGCGCAAACAACAATGCGAGCAAACGTTAACGATGTCCCCGATTCAATTGTCATGTCGAAATATTTCCATCAATTTCAGCTCTAACCGTCTGATGGATATAACAAAATTTCATTAAAAAACAGTAATAAATATTTGCTATCCGTGATGCTTATATAATAATCGATACATAAACATTTTATTTACAAAATATGAATATTCGGAAGAGAGTATTTCACAATTAATATCGTGTATTTGCACGGGGAAAAAAATTTCACGAATATTTAATAGAAACGTGTATTTTAATGAAATAACTGAACTCGTTCCATGGAAATGTATAATAAAAATGTGAAATTAAATCTATTCCTATGAGACTTCATAAGTAACAGTACACGTTAATTTAATTAATAGATGTAATTAACTTTTTTTAGCCTACAACATTATTTATTGTAGCGATATCTGGAGAATTGAATATTCGAAAGAGAAAATAATTTTAATATTGAAAGAATTACATCCTGAATTTTCATTGAAATATATCACTCATACCATTAGAAACTCTTTGACTTATCTAATTAGAAATACTCGCATTAGATACTTGAAATTATAAACAGAAGATCTAACGAAATATTGTCAAAATAAAAGATATAATTTGTGAAGAACAAAAATAATACTTGATGAAATTTTCAACAACTTCAACGTGGAGGTATTAAACCTTTGCCCAGTAAGTAACAGCAGAAATATAATACTTGAAAAATAAATGAAGTTTGGCGAAATTCCAATTTACGTTTGATCGACACCCTGTATATAACTCGTTTAACTTATCGCCTCGAACGGAAAAGAATTTACTACACGATACCCGTTTTCAAAGGTAGCGAAGCTTGCGGAAGATCGAAGAAGATTGAACTGCAGGTAGCAGGTGCATTTCTTCGAAGATGCATTTGGCGAAAGGAAGAAAAAAATTTGGTAGTTTCATTTCACTTTATGGGCTCCGTTGCGTCGAAGATTTCTTCATCATCGCGGATCCAAAGGTAAAAATATGAAAAGAGGAAGCGATTGCACGGAAGGGTCCCTTTTAGCGTGAAATACTTGTGGCCGTGCATGTACAAGTACCGGTATTTGCACTCTACACATTTGCGGAATACGCGTATTCACGGGAGATACGAGCTGTACGACCGATCAAATGTGTATTCATCCATAAAGCAGTGGTAATCCCTACAGGACACGATAGAAGGAAAATATACGATAAACATGGTTTATAAATATTTGAGAATTAAATTAGAAGAAAAAAATAGATTAACGATACTATAAAACTATTTTCATTGAACCCCTATTCGTGATTAAATTTTTAAATCTCTTTTCTTCTCATCCATTCATTAACCCTTTGATACACCAAAATTGTACAATTTTTAATTTTTGCCATTCTATTAAATATCTAAAGGGAATTCAATCAATTTTGTTTGATTGATCCAATTAAATACTAATCAATATATAATCAATTTAATTATTTTATTATAAATATTTAATCAAACTTATAGATAGTTTTATAGAAATAGAAAATTGCTTTCTTTTATTTCTATATTATTTATTTAAATTAAAATCACCAATTGAAAAATTGAAATATGAAAATGGTAAAATATTGAACCAACCACGGTACCACAATTTTATAGAAAAATTATGTTTCTATATTTCTATATTATTGATTTAAATTAAAGTCGCCATTTGAAAGATTGAAATATAAAAATGGTAAAATATTGGAATAATCCTTGCACCACAATTTATAGAAAAATTATGCTTCTGTTCGGATCTCTGTTCTAAAGTTAGCTTTCCAGTCAATCTAGAAAGACATCGAATTTACATTTGAATTTTAAACAGTTCTCCAAAGAATCGGAGGTTCGCTCTTTGATGACCCCATTCGCATTAAGGTGAGAAGTTCCAAGACCGTCTTCCAATCATCTCCTTCGAATTACTTGAAAGAGTAATTCGCAACCCTAAGACATTACCCTGACTTCTGCCATAATGCGGCTATTTTAATATTTTAAACCAAATCTAGCGTTTCGGATATATTTATTTCTTATCAAAAAGCGATAACCTACTTTTTTTTAATACCCTTCGATACTATATGTTACTTTATTAAAAAAGAAAAAAATAGCCTATGATAAATTTCCAATTGAACTGTGATGAAACGTGTTAAATAAACTTTTTCGAAATTTGATACTCTAAAAATATGATGCTCTTTGATGTTATTTAAAACTCATAATGTATTTTATTAAAAACTGGATTTTGTTTGTTAATGCATATACTGCTTGAAAATATTTTGATATATATTTTTGTAAAACAAAAACATCTGCAATATTTAAAGAAATAATTGAATTATCACGAATTAGCACAAATGCCCTGTATCAATTTCAGGTCATAATTCCAAACGTAATATTGAAATTAATTTACCATTTAATCGATCTGCGTAATTACTTATTTCGATAATTTTAAATCTGTTGACTTTAATAAACAATTATCTATTATTAATCACTGTTCTTTCCGCGTTTTATATCCTTCATGAAATATCGGTATGCCGCAGCCAGGGCAAAGAATTTCTGTCTGTCCTAACTAACAAGGTATGATCGATTATGATATATTGTTCTCATCCGTCGGAAGAGATATAACGCATATTGACTTCCTTCTTTGGAAACGTCAAACTGATTTTCAAAATGATACCAAGTTAAATATAATGTTTAACTATTCGTATATCTTCGTATATAAATAGTTAACACTTTACTACATGATTTTCTGTTAGCAAAAAAGAAATAATATTTTGGTATTTGAATGTTTTGTGGAATTTATCATTTTTGAAATTTTATATTTCTAGTTTTAGAAATGATATTTGCAAGTTTCTAATTGTATTAGAAAATTATATTTCTAACTCTATATTTCTAAATTATATTTCTAATATTTCACTATTCAATTTGTTAACCCTTTCCTATATAATTTTCATTTGCTAAGAAAAGAAAGAGGATAATCTATAATTGGAATCCACATTTGCAATTTTAAATCCTTTTTATAGCTAAGACATTATTAATAGAATTATATCTGCAATTTTCTAATTATACTAGGAAGTAAAATTTCTAATATAATTATCTATATTTAAAAATAGAAAATTATGTTACTAATATAATACTTTACTGTTTAAACATTAACCCTTCTCCTTATAATTTTCATTAACTAAGAAAAGAAAAAAAATAATATATTAATACTTTGATATTTGCATATTTTGTAAAATTTATAATTTCACGCTCTTTGTTATAGCTAAGAGATTATTAACAGAATTATGTTTGAAATTTTCTCAGACTCTGCTGCGCGTTTATTAATCCCATTGTTTGGTATAAACAAGCTATAGAAGCCGAACTATGTGAATGACTGTATCAACACACCCGTGTTGAGAGATATATGAGATAATAATATTTTGGTTCTACGCAGAATACAAGATAAACTTCTAAACTTCGTCGAAGACGAATGAATTTACAAGCAAAACATAATACATAATACAAAATAATATGTTATAAGTTGATATTTGTTACTCACCGTTGTAGACCAATTGCAGGGGAATGCAGCTCCAGAAATGCAGCACAATGTAACTCCAGCATCACTGGTCACTCGTTAAATGCACGTGCACTCCGAAACTGATTTCACAATACCGACGTACTTCTCACTCATCGTCAGTTATCTAATCAGTCCGAAATATAAAAAAAAATCTTTCGACAGAACCTTCTTTATAGTAAACAACGTAGTAACGTTAATAAAAACTATTGATGAAAATATTTCGTTGAGAAATAACCCGTTGAAATAGAGAAACGCGTTTCACTGTTTTATCAAACGGACCTAACCTCTCTGACCTCGGTCCCTCATCAATAACAGATCGATGAATCAATTTAGTTATGAAGTAGTACATAGTTTGCGATCAAGGCACGAACAGCAACCGTCTCGTACCTTCGTCAACAGAGAGGAACGCGAAGGTTGTTCGACATTCACGACGTTTATCGCGGCAATGAATAACAGAAGGTTCGATCGTGCAGGACTCAAAAGGACGATTTAGTGAGGCCATATAAAGGTGCGCGCGGCACGGCCGCGGAACGTGAGTGCCGCTTCGAATGTCGACTGATCCCGCAGGGTAATGGAACGCGCAGGTCCTCCCGAACGTCCCACGTCTGGCTGTCTGGTTTTGCCTCTAGTTTTCAGGAACAAGTACCACTCGTGCCAACGAGAAACGCCACTTCGTAACGTACGAAACACTTACTCGAGTTTTGCGTCGTCTGTAACACTGTATCCAAGTTCAATTTGTAATATAATGATTAACAGATGGACTCAAGTATTGATTATGTATCGTCGTATATTTAAAAGCACTTTTAGAATAATAAATCTTACCTTTTATCTTCTAAATACTGTCCTGCTACGACAAATTGACGCGTCTGTCAAAACTTTGACTCGAGAAAAACAAAATGGCGTCGATCGTCACCGATCGGAATAGATCGGAATAGGTCGACGAAGTTCGGAAAAGTTCGGAAAAGTTCGGCTCCCATGCTTTGCCATAGCACGTGGCACATGTATATCAAATACATTTGCAAACCATAGAACTTTCGTAGGCAATTATGAGAATACACAAAATAAATACGACTTCCTGGTTTAGGAATCATATAAAAAATAATGTTTAGTATCCGAATTGCTCATAACCCGAAGTTTGTAAAATCTAAAGATACATCAATTAGCCTTAGCAGTGCAATATGTCTCTATCTACAAACTATTAATGTCAGATTATATTTCTAAACTAATTTAACCTAACCAAATAGTTTAGATTAATAGGATTAATCCTATATATTTATTGTAGCATGTGTAATTTTATAATACATATTTCCTAAAACCAGCCTGTAATTTGAACAAAGAAATTTAATAAATCTTGGAGTTACACAAGTCACAAATCAATCTTTCAAAGATTCACTGAAATACCATGATCTTTTTAACCCCTCGATATTTCCCTCTTCTCATCTTTTGTTTTGGAAATATAGAACTACTAGGAGTCAACATAGTTTAATAAATATAGTATCTTTCATGTGATAAAATGAGAGTCCAAAAAATAACCTATTTCGAGGGTCGCGACACCAGGAAAAATACAACCCTCCCCTTCATCTTTTTTTTTCTTTCAGCAGGAAGGGGTTGTTGGAACGTCAGTTAGACCATGAAATATGAACGAAGAGGAATTCGTTTCGTCTTTAATGTTAGATATATAGTTCATATGAAAATCTTAATAATATCGCACGCGGTAATTGTGCAACCAAGCATTCGGAGCTCGGAAATTGCCTAGAAATCGCCGGAAATATGGACTGATCTTACGCTTCGACGAATATGCCGTACCAGTTTCCGTACCTTATTATGGAAGTTCCGTCGAACTTCGGTTCCACGTTTTGTGGGATCAGGACCGTCAGAGCTAATAAGAGAAATCGTGGGAGTTGAGATGTCAACGAACTGGTGGTGGCGAGATACAACTTGAAAAATAATGACTTTATTTCCGGTATCCTCCTTCCTCTACTTTTCACGTATTTTTAGGTACTCTGTAATTTCATTGCACAGAAATCCATTATTTGCTTCGATTGGTAATCAATCTAACCCTTTTCATATTAAAAATAGTAAGGAAATATTTATACCCAGTGTTTGACTGCAGATGGACATCCTTTGAGGGTGTTGTAGCTGAAGTGATACTGAAGAACTTCTTCTTACACCAAAATACTCGTTATGGTTTACTTTTTAAATTATTAATGAAAAACATCCAGCAACCACAAGGCGAATAGTGCGCATGCGCAGACGCGGGAGAGTCGACTACGACAACCACGCTCCATCGGAGTTGCGGACAAACTATATACTCACTAGCGCGTCGCAGTCGGTTTATAGCCGACTCTCGCGGCTGCGCATGCGCACTATGCGCGCTCTGATTGCCCGCGGTTTTTCGTTAATAATTCAAAAACTAAAACCTTAATGAACACTTTGGTACAGGAAACAGTTGTTCAAAATTACCCCAGCTACCACCCCTTCAAAGGGTGCTCACTCTTAACTTAACCTCTGTATAATTATTCCAATTAATATTAAATTTTTGCAT